ATTTTCCAGACAGTGGTCAATTTTTAACAGCTGTTCCTGGAATTGCTGGGATGTTGCATCCGGAGGCTTGTAGACTACCACAATGACTAGGTTTTGGTTCTCGACCTTTACTGCTAAAACTTCCACTACATCATTTGAGGCATTAAGCAGTTCTGTGCAAACAAGTGACTCTGCAATGTACAGGCCAACCCCCCCCTTTTGCCTGTTCACTCTGTCACATCTGTATAGGTTGTAACCTGGGATCCATATTTCGTTGTCCAAGTGATCCTTTATGTGGGTCTCAGTGAAAGCCGCGAACATTGCCTTTGCCTCTGCAAGCAGTCCACGGATGAAAGGTATTTTGTTGTTTGTTGTTTGCTGTAGGGCCTTGCTTACAGCAGGTTAGGTTCTGGGCTTCTGTAAGGCCCTACTTATACAGCAGGTCAGGTTCTCGTCTTCTGCAGTAACCCCAATCCCTTCTATTATAATTATCATTATAATTACCTTGGTGAGAGACAATTGGTGTGCTGCAATAATGTTAAACTATTATATTATGAAGTGCTAAACATGTAAGGGACACAGTGACCATGGAACAGGAGCTGTATCCTTCCCCCTCCTCCCACCCTCCTGGAAAACACTAGTGTGTGAAAGAAAGAGAAGAGAGAGAGAGAGAGAGATATGAGAGAGAGAGAGATATGAGAGAGAGAGAGAGAGATATGAGAGAGAGAGAGAGATATGAGAGAGAGAGAGAGAGAGATATGAGAGAGAGAGAGAGAGAGATATGAGAGAGAGATATGAGAGAGAGAGAGAGAGATACGAGAGAGAGAGAGAGAGATGAGAGAGAGAGAGAGAGATGAGAGAGAGAGAGAGAGATGAGAGAGAGAGAGATATGAGAGAGAGAGAGATATGAGAGAGAGAGAGATATGAAGAGAGAGAGAGATATGAGAGAGAGATATGAGAGAGAGATATGGAGAGAGAGAGAGAGAGATACGAGAGAGAGAGAGATGAGAAAGAGAGAGAGAGATGAGAGAGAGAGAGAGAGATGAGAGAGAGAGAGAGATGAGAGAGAGAGAGAGATGAGAGAGAGAGAGAGATGAGAGAGAGAGAGAACAGATGCAGCAGCAGCAGCAAGTGTTCCCATGGAAGGGAAAGTTAGGTTAGAAAGTTGGCAGAGGTGAACTCACCTCAACTTCCTTGCCCCACGAGTCAAATACTGTAACTCACCTCAACTTCCTTGCCCCACGAGTCAAGTACTGTAACTCACCTCAACTTCCTTGCCCCACGAGTCAAGTACTGTAACTCACCTCAACTTCCTTGCCCCACGAGTCAAATACTGTAACTCACCTCAACTTCCTTGCCCCACGAGTCAAGTACTGTAACTCACCTCAACTTCCTTGCCCCACGAGTCTAGTACTGTAACTCACCTCAACTTCCTTACCCCACGAGTCAAGTACTGTAACTCACCTCAACTTCCTTGCCCCACGAGTCAAGTACTGTAACTCACCTTAACTTCCTTGCCCCACGAGTCAAGTACTGTAACTCACCTCAACTTCCTTGCCCCACGAGTCAAGTACTATAACTCACCTCAACTTCCTTGCCCCACGAGTCAAGTACTGTAACTCACCTCAACTTCCTTGCCCCACGAGTCAAGTACTATAACTCACCTCAACTTCCTTGCCCCACGAGTCAAGTACTGTAACTCACCTCAACTTCCTTGCCCCACGAGTCAAGTACTATAACTCACCTCAACTTCCTTGCCCCACGAGTCAAGTACTGTAACTCACCTCAACTTCCTTGCCCCACGAGTCAAGTACTGTAACTCACCTCAACTTCCTTGCCCCACGAGTCAAGTACTGTAACTCACCTCAACTTCCTTGCCCCACGAGTCAAGTACTGTAACTCACCTCAACTTCCTTGCCCCACGAGTCAAGTACTGTAACTCACCTCAACTTCCTTACCCCGTGAGTCAAGTACTGTAACTCACCTCAACTTCCTTGCCCCACGAGTCAAGTACTGTAACTCACCTCAACTTCCTTGCCCCACGAGTCAAGTACTGTAACTCACCTCAACTTCCTTGCCCCACGAGTCAAGTACTGTAACTCACCTCAACTTCCTTGCCCCACGAGTCAAGTACTGTAACTCACCTCAACTTCCTTGCCCCACGAGTCAAGTACTGTAACTCACCTCAACTTCCTTGCCCCACGAGTCAAGTACTGTAACTCACCTCAACTTCCTTGCCCACGAGTCAAGTACTGTAACTCACCTCAACTTCCTTGCCCCACGAGTCAAGTACTTTAACTCACCTCAACTTCCTTGCCCCACGAGTCAAGTACTGTAACTCACCTCAACTTCCTTGCCCCACGAGTCAAGTACTGTAACTCACCTCAACTTCCTTGCCCCACAAGTCAAGTACTATAACTCACCTCAACTTCCTTGCCCCACGAGTCAAGTACTGTAACTCACCTCAACTTCCTTACCCCGTGAGTCAAGTACTGTAACTCACCTCAACTTCCTTACCCCACGAGTCAAGTACTGTAACTCACCTCAACTTCCTTACCCCGTGAGTCAAGTACTGTAACTCACCTCAACTTCCTTACCCCACGAGTCAATTACTGTAACTCACCTCAACTTCCTTACCCCACGAGTCAAGTACTGTAACTCACCTCAACTTCCTTACCCCGTGAGTCAAGTACTGTAACTCACCTCAACTTCCTTACCCCGTGAGTCAAGTACTGTAACTCACCTCAACTTCCTTACCCCGTGAGTCAAGTACTGTAACTCACCTCAACTTCCTTACCCCGTGAGTCAAGTACTGTAACTCACCTCAACTTCCTTACCCCGTGAGTCAAGTACTGTAACTCACCTCAACTTCCTTACCCCATGAGTCAAGTACTGTAACTCACCTCAACTTCCTTACCCCGTGAGTCAAGTACTGTAACTCACCTCAACTTCCTTACCCCGTGAGTCAAGTACTGTAACTCACCTCAACTTCCTTACCCCATGAGTCAAGTACTGTAACTCACCTCAACTTCCTTGCCCCGTGAGTCAAGTACTGTAACTCACCTCAACTTCCTTACCCCATGAGTCAAGTACTGTAACTCACCTCAACTTCCTTACCCCACGAGTCAAGTACTGTAACTCACCTCAACTTCCTTACCCCGTGAGTCAAGTACTGTAACTCACCTCAACTTCCTTACCCCGTGAGTCAAGTACTGTAACTCACCTCAACTTCCTTACCCCGTGAGTCAAGTACTGTAACTCACCTCAACTTCCTTACCCCGTGAGTCAAGTACTGTAACTCACCTCAACTTCCTTACCCCTTGAGTCAAGTACTGTAACTCACCTCAACTTCCTTACCCCACGAGTCAAGTACTGTAACTCACCTCAACTTCCTTACCCCTTGAGTCAAGTACTGTAACTCACCTCAACTTCCTTACCCCACGAGTCAAGTACTGTAACTCACCTCAACTTCCTTGCCCCACGAGTCAAGTACTGTAACTCACCTCAACTTCCTTGCCCCACGAGTCAAGTACTGTAACTCACCTCAACTTCCTTACCCCGTGAGTCAAGTACTGTAACTCACTTCAACTTCCTTACCCCACGAGTCAAGTACTGTAACTCACCTCAACTTCCTTACCCCGTGAGTCAAGTACTGTAACTCACCTCAACTTCCTTACCCCGTGAGTCAAGTACTGTAACTCACCTCAACTTCCTTACCCCGTGAGTCAAGTACTGTAACTCACCTCAACTTCCTTACCCCGGGAGTCAAGTACTGTAACTCACCTCAACTTCCTTACCCCGTGAGTCAAGTACTATAACTCACCTCAACTTCCTTACCCCATGAGTCAAGTACTGTAACTCACCTCAACTTCCTTACCCCGTGAGTCAAGTACTGTAACTCACCTCAACTTCCTTGCCCCACGAGTCAAGTACTGTAACTCACCTCAACGTCCTTACCCCGTGAGTCAAGTACTGTAACTCACCTCAACTTCCTTACCCCGTGAGTCAAGTACTGTAACTCACCTCAACTTCCTTACCCCATGAGTCAAGTACTGTAACTCACCTCAACTTCCTTACCCCGGGAGTCAAGTACTGTAACTCACCTCAACTTCCTTACCCCGGGAGTCAAGTACTGTAACTCACCTCAACTTCCTTACCCCGGGAGTCAAGTACTGTAACTCACCTCAACTTCCTTACCCCGTGAGTCAAGTACTGTAACTCACCTCAACTTCCTTGCCCCGTGAGTCAAGTACTGTAACTCACCTCAACTTCCTTACCCCGTGAGTCAAGTACTGTAACTCACCTCAACTTCCTTGCCCCACGAGTCAAGTACTGTAACTCACCTCAACTTCCTTGCCCCACGAGTCAAGTACTGTAACTCACCTCAACTTCCTTACCCCGTGAGTCAAGTACTGTAACTCACTTCAACTTCCTTACCCCACGAGTCAAGTACTGTAACTCACCTCAACTTCCTTACCCCGTGAGTCAAGTACTGTAACTCACCTCAACTTCCTTACCCCGTGAGTCAAGTACTGTAACTCACCTCAACTTCCTTACCCCGTGAGTCAAGTACTGTAACTCACCTCAACTTCCTTACCCCGTGAGTCAAGTACTGTAACTCACCTCAACTTCCTTACCCGTGAGTCAAGTACTGTAACTCACCTCAACTTCCTTACCCCGTGAGTCAAGTACTGTAACTCACCTCAACTTCCTTACCCCGTGAGTCAAGTACTGTAACTCACCTCAACTTCCTTACCCCGTGAGTCAAGTACTGTAACTCACCTCAACTTCCTTGCCCCGTGAGTCAAGTACTGTAACTCACCTCAACTTCCTTACCCGTGAGTCAAGTACTGTAACTCACCTCAACTTCCTTGCCCCGTGAGTCAAGTACTGTAACTCACCTCAACTTCCTTGCCCCGTGAGTCAAGTACTGTAACTCACCTCAACTTCCTTGCCCCGTGAGTCAAGTACTGTAACTCACCTCAACTTCCTTACCCCGTGAGTCAAGTACTGTAACTCACCTCAACTTCCTTGCCCCGTGAGTCAAGTACTGTCTCTTTCTTCTTGATCATGTCCTTCAGTTGACCAATTAATGCTTGCTGTTGATCAAACTGTTCCTGCAACACAAGACCAATTAATGCTTGCTGTTGATCAAACTGTTCCTGCAACACAAGACCAATTAATGCTTGCTGTTGATCAAACTGTTCCTGCAACACAAGACCAATTAATGCTTGCTGTTGATCAAACTGTTCCTGCAACACAAGACCAATTAATGCTTGCTGTTGATCAAACTATTCCTGCAACACAAGACTTATTATTACACACAACACTGGCACCAACCACCCCCACCAACCCACACCCACACACCCATACCCATACCCCATCCCCCCCCCACACACACACAGTACTGTATGTCTACTGCAGTAATGTATGACTACTGTATTGTATGGTTACTGCAGTATTTATTTAGAACACCTCAGCAGTGCTTCTTAAAGCAAGATCCATGGACCACCGGTGGTCCACAATACAACCATCACTGGTCCACAGTTTAACTAAACATAGTCAACACATGGACCACCAGTGGTCCACAATACTACAATCAATGGTCCACAGTGTTACTAAACAGTCAACACATGTCTTAGTACACTGGTAAATAACATTCACATTCACCTGTCACATTAGCGAAGGTTAGTGCTTAAACAATTATAAAGACTAAGCCCGTGGACTAAATAATCCAAGACTTATAAAATAAAAAATCCATGACTTAAAACCATCCCATCTGCAACTTCTGGAAAGAATAGAGAGGAGAGCAAGATGCCTCATCTCTGTCCTGGACCCAGCCTGGACAGATCTGTTACATCAGCAGAGCCTTCAACACACGAGAGATGTGGGTGACCTTACTGTTGGTATAAACCTTGGTAATAAATACCAACAAGCTGGTTTAGAAAGACACGTAAGCAAACACTGACATATTTATTAGAAAACATTTTGGTCCTTGATCATTTCTGTAATCAAGGTCCCAGACCAAAACGTTTTCTAATAAATATGTCAGTGTTTGCTTACGTGTCTTTCTAAACCGACCTTACTGTTATATACAAGATCAAAGTACCACACTAGGCCTCCGCTCTGAGGACAGCGAGAAGCGAGCCACACAACAAGACGGGCAGCAACTTCACTTTGATTGTAATCTTCTCCACAACATCACTTCATCTAAGATCATTTATTCCTAGGACGGCTCAAATCTGGAACATCTTTGTACAACATAATGACATCAACGAAATAAAATCAACTGATTAAATGAAACTGCTGGCAAACCATACCACGGGTTCAAACCCCCGTGGTATGGTTTGTTTGCAATCATGGCATTATGATTTCGTGAGTCAGTGAAATTGCTGGCCCACAGATGGCTCCAACTTCATACCGTTCCCTACTTGTGTATGTCTCATAACAATAAAAATGCTTTCAAACAAGCTGATGTAAGTAACAGCTCTTAACTTGTAAATAAAGTTAGCAACCTTAACCTAACCTTGTAAAACATGTAAAAAAAAAATGAAATATACTACTGTAACTACATTAATTAATATTTACCCATTATGAATTACAAGCCAGCAGCTACACTACATTAATTTAATATTTACAAAAGTAACATCTTGGAATTAAAATTCTAAAATTTGACCCATAAGGAACAACAGAATAAGAGTATTATTGTTTATTGTGAAGCTCTAAGCCCATAAGGGTGATAAACTGAAGGACAATGCCACAAAACTATTACAGCATTAATTAGGAAGCACAAAGTAACCAGTAGACCACACAACACCAGGGACACTAGAGGTATTAACTTTGATCAGAGAAAGGGAGCTCTAATTCACTGGATCAAGAGCCCTTGACAAGTATCAAGGCACAACCTTTGAAGGGAACATTAAATATTATTCCCACGAGATCCACGAGACACTAACAAGACTGGCTAACACTTTTACAGGTTAAGAGCAGTTATCCTACATCAACTCATTTTGAAGCTCAGCCCTAAGATATACTACCACCCCCAGGATGCCACCCACACCAGTCAACTAACACCCAAGTACCTACTTAATGCTAGGTTAACAGGGAAGTAGGTTTAAGGAAACATACCCAACATTTCCACCTGTACCAGGTATCGAACCATGGACACTCAGAAAGCGAGTCGAGTGCTTTACCAACAGAGCCACGAGACATTTAATAGAAGCCAGGAAACATCCCGAGCCATACTGAGCACTTCAGACAACATATAACTTAACACTAACAGACCATAATAAACATTGCACTTGTGTGTATACCAAGACATTAAGAGAGACATTAATTGTAAGGAAGATTACCAACATTTACACAATTTATTTTTTTTTTTTGGACATGATACATAGTTGTACAAAGAAATATGTATAGTGATTGGGTGTACATGCCAAAAGTCCCTTGTATGCAGAGCATTATGGGCAGGCTTAAGATTAACTAAACAATGATATATTCAGTGGTAAAAATTACAGTACACAAATTACAATATGAAGTACAAATGAGTATTTCAAATAAGAAGCATTATAGTTGTACAAATTTGTAGCATAACAATGTATAATATAATCCAATCAAATCAGGTAAAATCAATGATTTGTAGTGCAGATTTTTAGACGAGTTACTTTGCAGTCAAGAGAATGGAGTATTCTATTAGGTAATGTAATTAAAAAAAAAAAAAATAGTTTGATAGGGTCACAGGTTATACATTTATGAGATACAGTTATTCACATAATAGTAGATTACGTGTAGAAGCATGATACATGATAATATGAAATGATTTAAAGTCCAGCCAAATCAGATACAATTTTTACAGGAAGTGGCATTAATACTTTAATTTAATGACTACAGATAATGTTTAATTTAAGTAACGAAGCTCAGTACAGAATATTAAAGCACTAATACTCATATGGGCAAGCCAATACAAAACAACAGAGGGTATTTACAATCAAAAAAAAGATGGGGAGAGCGAGTCGACTGTAGCAGTATTTACACACACACACAATGTTAGTGGACTGGTGTAGGTTGCATCCTGGCGTACAAGATTCAAGGCCCACAATAGAAATAAGACAGTTCTCGATTACGCACTAACTCTTGGGTTATCCTGGGTGGATAGTGGATAACATTCCGGGTGAAACACTTGAACAAGTCTTATTTTATCTTATATTTTTCTGGGCACTCTTCTTTTTGTCATTTACATACATCAATAGCCTACTTAATGCCACCCAGTATCTGTATGCTTTTCTGACGACATAATTTTCACAACATTAGATCCAGATGTCGTCAGTAAACACTACAGCAAATACAGTGGAACCTCTACTTGCGAGCGCTTCCATGTGCGAGTTTTTTCAAATACGAGCAGTCGATGGGTCGATTTTTTGCTTCCATACGCAAGCAAAATTTCCATAAGCGAGCAGACCTCAAGGGAGGTTCCTTGACGCTGGTGAGGGGCTCTTGCTCTTGATCTAGGGAATTGGATTTCGTTTGTTTGTTGGACTATCTTATTGAAACTTGGGCAATGTATGATGGAAAGATGCTTCTTAACTTACACTAAAACTGAAAGAAATTGGAGCATAAATAATGGAGTTCACTTCTCAGCAATTAGCCACCCCTTAGCGGTATTTTCGTATGGATTTTATTGTTGTATTCTCATTGTTTTGGTGTCATTTGATAGAATGGATGATATATTACAGAAGTAGATATGATTTTGATTGCTTTCACGATGAAAAGTACCTTGAAATTGAGGTCAACGTAGGAGAAATTTTAGATTGTTGTAGCAATGTTCAAGAGTAAACAAATGATGTCACTGCCCATTCCAATATGCAGTCATGAAAGAGTTGACATTATTTATACAATTATTGCAATAAGGCGTAACAGTAAATCTTATATTCTTTTGTGTGAATAAAAATTACAAATTACTTATATTGTGATAATAATAATAATAAATATATAATAATAATATGTATAATAATTTTCTTCTTCTTAGGTGAGGAGTTAATAAAAGTAGTATTAGTCAGAGGGCTGAAGAGGGGTTGTTGAGGTTGTTTGGTCATTTAGAGAGAATGGATCAAAGTAGAATGACATGGAGAGCATTTAAATCTGTAGGGGAAGGAAGGCGAGGTAGGGGTCGTCCTCAAAAAGGTTGGAAGGAAGGGATGAGGGAGGTTTTCTGGCCGAGGGGCTTGGACTTCCAGCAGGCATGCATGAGCATGTTCGATAGGAGTGAATGGAGACGAATGGTATTTGGGACCTGACGATCTGTTGGAGTGTGAGCAGGGTAATATTTAGTGAAGGGATTCAGGGAAACCGGTTATTTTTATATAGCCAAACTTGAGTCCTGGAAATGGGAAGTACAATGCCTGCACTCTAAAGGAGGGGTTTCGGGATATTAGCAGTTTGGAGGGATATGTTGTGTATCTTTATACGTATATGCTTCTAAACTGTTGTGTTCTGAGCACCTCTGCAAAAACAGTGATTATGTGTGAGTAAGGTGAAAGTGTTGAATGATGATGAAAGTATTTTTTTTCTTTTGGGGGATTTTCTTTCTTTTTGGGTCACCCTGCCTCGGTGGGAGATGGCCGACTTGTAGGGAGGGACTACCGTCCTGCCAAGTGAGTGTAAAACGGAAGCCTGTAATTGTTTTACACGATGGTAGGATTGCTGGTGTCTTTTTTTCTGTCTCATACACATGCAAGATTTCAGGTACATCTTGCTACTTCTACTTACACTTAGGTCACACTACACATACATGTACAAGCATATAGTATATACTACACACCCCTCTGGGTTTTCTTCTATTTTCTTTCTAGTTCTTGTTCTTGTTTATTTCCTCTTATCTCCATGGGGAAGTGGAACAGAATTCTTCCTCCGTAAGCTATGCGTGTTATAAGAGGCGACTAAAATGCCGGGAGCAAGGGGCTAGTAACCTCTTCTCCTGTATATATTACTAAATTTGAAAGGAGAAACTTTCGTTTTTCCTTTTGGGCCACCCCGCCTCGGTGGGATACGGCCGGTGTGTTGAAAGAAAGAATAATAATACAGTGGACCCCCGCATAGCGACCTTAATCCGTGCAAGAGG